GTCGCAGCTGCCTCTGGAAGGCACCGAGATGTACCTTTTTCGCGCAATGGTCCTGTGCCGAGTTCCGCGGTGGCGGGGTTGGACAGACCTCAGCTCCACGCGCCGCGAGATGCGGACGGTGTTCTTGCGCGGCGCCGCCACGACGGTGCCCGCGCACACGCCGCGGTGCGACGGCGAGAGGCCCCGGACGAAGGTCTGGTGGCGCGGCCCGTCGAAGAAGCCGGCCGAGTGGCCGTCGTGCTCCTGGAGCGTCAAACAGCACGCCAGCTGAGGGAGGGAAGGCGGGCGCCGCCGACGATGCGGCTGCGTGCGGCGGACTGCGGCTCCCGTATCCCTCGCACCTAGGCGGGGCATATCTCCCCATATCTCCCCACATCTCGGGGGCCGCGCTCCTCGTCCTGCGCGCGCGCAAACACCTGCCGCAGCGCGTCGGGCGCGAGCGGCGGCGGCGTGGCGCGTCTCTCGCGCGCCGCGGCGTCGAGGACGTCGGTGTGGGAGGCGGAGACAGCCTCACGCGCCCCCCACGCCTCGTCGATCGCCCTGCGGTCAGCGAGGGCAGGGTTTAAGGTTCGGGGTAGGGGTAGGCGAAAGGTTAGGGTTCGGGTTAGGGTTAGGCCTGCGGTACGCGAGGGTCGAGACGTAGACGTACTCAGCTAACCCTCTAACCCTCGAACCCTCGAACCCTCTAACCCTCTAACCCTCTAACCCTCTAACCCTAACCTGCGGTACGCGAGGGTCGAGACGTACACGTACTCCGCCGACTTGAGACGCCCCTCGATCTTGAAGGTCCGCACGCCGGCCTCCAACAGCCGCGGGACATGCTCGAGTCCGCAGAGGTCCTGAGGCGAGGGCAGACGGGCTAGTTCGGTCTCAGGACTGGTCATCCTGCACGAACAACTACGAGGTCCTGCGGCGGAGCAGAACAGCCCGTCACTATCACCAGTGGCTAGCGGGGCTACTCATCAGACAGGGTGAACAGCCCGTCACTATCGCCAGTCAGTGGCGACTTCATCAGACGGGGTCAACAGCCCGTCACTACCGCCAGTAGTGGGTAGCAGGGTTTCCTGCGGCGAGAGCAGGTAGTGCGACGCGTCGCGCAGCTCCTTCAGCCTGCCGTCCACCATCAGGCCGTAGGGCATGCGGCACCTACGTGGCGGTTCACGCCAGCCTCGTGGCGGGAATGCGGGACTGTGCAGTGTCTTCAGAGCACCGCGTGAGTACGCGGGGCTACGAGTACAGTGGGTACCGCTGAAGACGGCCGAATGCGGCTGAGTCCGTGTCCTCTCGAGCGCTGGTTGGGAGACAAGAACATTCCTTCCGCCTCTAGGATGGGCGCCTGCTCACTCCGAGAGGTGTGAAGTGCAGAGCCACCCCTTGCCGCATCCGGCCCCGCAGAGAAGGGGAAGGGCACTGCTGCGCGCACTGCCCGCGGTTGGCGGAGCGGCCGCCGCCCGACTCGGACGAGAAGCACTGCCCGTTGTAGCTCACACACATGTGGCCGTGCACGAAGACCTCGACGTTGGCGCCGGGCACCGCCGCCGCCACCGCAGCGATGTCGTCGATCGACAGCTCTCGCGTGAGTACGACGGTGCGCGCGCCGAGCGTCTCCGACGCGAAGCGGGCGCCGTCGCTGTCCGAGATGGACATCTGCGTCGACGCCTGCAGGGACAGTCCCGAGACGCGTCCGACAAGGCTGCCAGACTGGCTGACGCCAGGCCCACGCCCCACGGCCGCACGTGCAGCGGCAGCGAGGGAGCGACGGCGTGGAGGCGCGAGGCGAGGCCGACGTCCTGGACGATGAGACCGTCCACGCCCGCTCCCTCGGCCGTCCTCGCCAGCTGCTCCGCCTGCGCCATCTCTGACTCAAAGATGAGCACGTTGACGCACATGTACCTATGCAGTTTTGCCGAGGCGGGCGTCGGCGCCAGTCTCTCGGCCGTCTCTTGCCGTGTGTGCGTGCTGGCCCCGCGGCGTGGAGTGTGCTGCAGTCCGATGTCTATTGCAGACTCGCCCCTCGAGCCCGGCCGCGTGCAGCCGCTCCATCAGCGCGGGCAGCTCGTCGAGGCCGAAGTTGGTCGCGCGCGCTCGAGCGTTCAGGCCGGCGGCGCACCCAAAGTAAACCGCGTCGGCGCCCGCCTTGATCGCCGCCTCGACCTGCGGCCAGCCACCCGCCGGCGCGAGCAGCACGGGCTTCGTGACCGGCGCCGCGCGGCGGGTCGGGCCACCGCCGCGGCCCTGCTCGAGGCGCTTGTACAGGTCAGTCGACTTGCGATAGCGAGCGTCCCGCAGAGCGGCAATGGGCGCTGGCGTCCGCCGCAGCGGCTGATTGCTACTTGGCACGACACCGCCGGCGAGCGCGTCGGCGCGGTAGCCAAGCAGGAGGAGAGGGCTCAGCACGAGCATGTGTGTGTGTGTGTTCGGGCTCTCAGCGGCCGCTGAGAATAGGACCGACGCAAGGCGTGCCGTCCCGTGCCCCGGAGTTCATTTTATAACAAGGCGGCGTGGAGTTGATCGACATGGAGCTCAGAAGAAGATGAACATCTAAAAAAGAATGTGTTCGCGCGGTAACGACCTCGCGGCGGCTGGCGGCGGCCTGATTTGGCATGCTCCCTTTCGCCGCTTTCGCCGCGAGCAAGAGCAGCAAAGATCTGCGGCACGACCTTCTGGATGGCTACGACCCTCTCGTCCCGCCAACAGCAGGTGCGGACGTACTCGTGAATCTCCGCGTATTCAAGGTGGTTGGCGTGAGTGCGGCGTCCAGCCATATGCTGCTCAAAGTATGGTTTCGGCAGAGCTGGACGGACCCGCGACTGGTTTGGTCGCCGGGCGATTATGACAACGTGACGTCAGCCTACTTCCGCGCCGCCAGCCGATACGACGGCGCATCGAACAATCGCGGCGTGAACGAGATCTGGCTGCCCGACATCCGGCCGTATAACCTGGGCGAGGGGTTCGAGGATACGCTGCAGCCGTCAGACGTCCTCGTTAACCACACGGGTGGCGCCTTTTGGTCACGGCCGGGCGTGATGGACGTGCTCTGCAAGTTTGACGGGCTCGCGCGCTTCCCGTTCGACCACAAGCTGACTTGTCCGATCGACGTGGGCGGGTGGATGCTCGACGGACAGCGGCAGCGCGTCGGCCTGTTGGACGGCGGATACGAGGGCGACTTCGTCGAGGACGATGTCGACTCCTCCGCCACCTTGGTGGAGGCTAGCGCGGGCTCCTCGTTCACGGAGTGGGACCTGCTTTCCCTGTCTGCTGTCGTGCGCAACCTGACTTATGTCTGCTGCGGCGACGACCCGTGGCCCGTCGTCCTGTACGAAGTCACGATTCGGCGCATCGCCCTCCCCCCCACACACCCCCCACACCCCCCCCCCCCACAAGTGCAGGCGGCGCGACGCGAGCGCGACGCGGCTGCAACTCCCCTTTCTAGGCGCAACGCCTCCTTCTTTTACTTCTACGTCCTCATCTTCCCGCCGACCACCCTTGCGATCCTCGCCATCTCCGTCTTCTTCGTCTCGCCAGCGGTCGAGGGCGGCCTGCCCCGCCCCGGCACTCGGCGGCGGTGGCGCCTCACCCTGCGGCCCGGTGTGAGAGTAGGTTGGTGAGCGGCTCTCGTTCGGGGTCACTCTCGTGGTGGCGTCCCAGTTCGGCGCGTGTGCGACGCGCAGCTCGCCGTTCCGTGAGCCACGCATACGTCGTTGTGGCCCGAGGCGTGCCATAGGCAAGCTCGTCGTGATGCAGCTCATGCCTATCTGCTCCGAGCTCCTCTGGGTGCGGCTCCTCCTGAACATCAGCGAGCTCTCCGGAGACACAACCCGAGACATGCCGAGAACATGCGCTGTACCAACTAGGCCACGCCCCAGGCTCGATTTGCAATGCGCATGATACTGGCCGCTCATAAACCAACAGGTGGATGTCTTCCTCCTCATCAACGAGCTCGTCACCCTCCTCTCCCTCCTCGAGTCGACTCTCGTCCTCTTCCTCCACCACTACGAGTCTGACTCGCTGCTGCCCTCCTGGCTCGCCGCCCTAGATGTATACCCCAGCTGTTTAGACGCGTATCCCAACTAGCTCTCGAGCATCCCTGAAAGAAAGAAAGAAAAGAGATGTAGCCCTCGACGTGTTCTGCATTCACACCCTCGCCCACTGCCTGAACACGAGGCTCGCCGCGCCGCGCATCCTCCGCTCGCTCGCCGCGTGCGAGACGGCCGATGAGCGAGAGTCGGTCCTCACGCTCCTCTTCACCCGCATCCGCCACGCCGCCGAGACCGCTGTCGCCGCGGAGAAAAAAGCGCGCCGCGAGCTTGAGGCGGCGGCGGGCACTTCGCTGCCGCCGAGCGACAGCGAGGGGGAGGAGGAGGGGGAGGGGGCGGAGGCCGGAGGGGCGCTACCGCTACGAGAGAGGCTGCACGGGCTAGAAAGCGGGAGAACGCATTCTTGTGTGTTTCCAACCAGCGCTCGAGAGGACACGTATTCGGCCGTGATCCGCTGCATTCCGCTGTATTCATTGTACTCGCAGCCCCTCGCATTCACGCGGTGTCCTCAGAATACCTCGCTCGAACACCGTATTCACAGCCTGGCTTTGGCGTGCTCATGACGTAGGCTGCTCGGCCTCTTCCAGGCAGCACCGCAAACGGCGGCGGTCGAAGAGAGTGGCGCCCCCGCGGAGCGTGAGCAAAGCCGGGCGGAGAGCAAGGCGGAGCGTGGCTCCGACGGGAGGGACGCCCCGTCGGGCGACGGCCCCACCCCGGGAGGCGACGCCATTGCCGGCCCATCGGCGGAGCTTGGCTCAGTGGGCCACAAGGCGGCTGCGGCCGTCGCCGCCGCCGACACGGAGGTGTCTCCCGTGGTGGAGGCGGCCCTCGCCGAGGCGACATCGCCCCCGCCCCTCTCCCTCCCTCGGCCACGGGTGGCGTGCCGTTTGGCGCCTCTGCTGAAGACAGCCCCCTCCAGCGGCAGTCCACCGCTCACAGCCTCGTCCCATCGCCCCGTTCTTAGGCGGCGGTCCCCACCCCTCACAGCCTCGTCCCATCGCCCTGTTCTTAGGCGGCGGTCCGCGCCGCGGGCGCGACTGCCGCGCGCGGCCGAGGAACCAAGTATCACAAGCGCCGCTTCCGGCTGCACGAGCGGCAGGCGCAGCGGCTAATTAGTGAGTAGTGACTAGTGATTAGCCATTAGTAATCAGTGGCTTGCGCGAGCGGCAGGCGCAGCGGCTGCTCTACTACGAGAAGCTCTTCTTCGTGCTCGACAACGACGGCGCCGGCTACGTCGATGGCGCGACCGCCGATCGCTTCCTCTCCTTCGTGGCTTTTGAGCTAGACGCGCCCACGCGGCGACGGCGCATCCTTGAGGCCGTCTCCTTTGACCTGGACGCCGCAGCGCTGGCGGCCGAGAGGCCGGCGCCGGTGGCGCGGCGCTGGTCGATAGAGGCCAAGGCGACGATGCGATTGCGCGGCGGCGAGCTGTTCCTCTCTCGCATGCAGTTCGTGCAGCTGTGCATGGGCACGCTCGGTCGGTGCGGTCTCGACAAGCCGCTCGAGGAGGTGCAGATGGCCTTCGCCACGTTCGACATGGCACACACGGTGGGAAGACGGCGCGCGCTGGCCTACTGGCGCGGCGTGGGGCGCCGGATCGACGCGGCGTCTCGGGTGGTCTTCACGGTGGGGTACTCGGTGGGGCTGCTCGCGCTCTACAACCTCAACAGGGAGTCAGCGCCGCTCTGGTCGATGAGCGCGCTGAGCATCCTCGCCACCGTCGCGACACCGTGCGCCGTCGTCGCCACCTTTGGCGCTTGCCTCTGGGCGCGGAGCATGCGCCAGCGGACGCGCGCCCAGGGGATGCCTCGCATGGCAGTGGAGGCGGTGGCGGCGATGCGGGAGAGGAGAGGCGGGGCCTTTGGTGAGAGCCGGGGCCGCTCGTTCAAGACGACTGGGGATGGTGCACGCGTGTGAGAGGAAGTTCAAAACATACTTTACGCCAGTACACAAGTGTCTATGACCTTACCTTACATGAGTTGCCCCCGCCCCCCTCCTGTATGTATATGTATGTTCCTATGTAGGAAGGTGAAGAACAGCCAGGCTCGGACTGGACACCAACGCGGTATGGGTGGAGGCTGGACAGACTAGTCGACAGATGATGACGGCACGCACGAGCGACACACAGACACAAACAGGCTCACAAGACACACAGCCAGCGGGCTGCCACACACCCTGAGTTGGCGTACACATAACTCAAGGCCACATCCTCCCTGTCGCCCCCCCCAGCACTCCAAGGTGCCAAGAGAACAAACAAGGGCACAACAAACAACAGACGGCAGGAAGTAACATGCGAGGCTAGAGCAGCTTGCTCCACCTCTAGCAATCTCGCCGGCCGGCGAGGCCCGGACGAGACCGTGTGTGGGGTCTAGTGAGGTGTCTATGGACGCCCTCCTCAGAGGCTAGCTGCCTACTGCTAGCCCTATCTCGCACTCACGGGTGATGACAATTCATTGTATGAGTGTATGCGAGCAGAGGCGCGTGTGCTAAATCTAGGCCGCACGTCGTGGCACTATGACGAAGGTAGACGTGCGGCCGCAGCGCGCCCACCGCAGTCCCGGTGGTGCGCGCGTGTTAGCGAGAAAGTTGCGGTGGAGCCATGCCTGACTTTTCGAAGGCGAGCCCCACGCCACGGATGCCAGCCGTGCCTTCGCGGGAGTCGTCTCTCGAGCCGCGTCCCGTCGGCACTGCCCCTGAGTAGCCCCGCCTTGGCGGCACACACTCTCGACGAGGACAGTCCGGCCTATACGGGAACGTGTCGCGCGCCGGCGACGGTTGCGGCGTGGTGGTTTCGAGTACGACGCGAAGATGGCACGACCACCGCCCTGCATTGCAGGCCGGGCAAGGAGGGGCCTGCTCGCGATCCGCGCGGAACAGGAGATCGCTCCCCCTCCCCCGGCCTGAGCAGCGACGGATGGAAGGCAGCCCCTTGAGTCGAGGGCGGCGCGACCTTTATGTGATCTCGCGATAACTCGCACCAGCGGGCGGCCCGACGGCGTTGTGTCCGTTCCACGCTGCATGACACTCGGGGAAGATAAGTGAGCAATCAATCAGCATGCTGAGGGCAAACATCATCTCCAAAGTGTTCTCCTAGATCCTGCGCATCGGACTTCTGATTGTTGTACGTACTTTTAGCTTACTGGGAGAAAAGAGAGAGGGGGTTGTGTTCTAATCGAGCTGCGTGCGGCGCACAACAGGCTCAAGGAGGAGCACGGCAAGATCACGGCGACGTGGAAGGTGTGGGACGACACGACGAAGGCGGAGTACTTCGACCTGGTCGGTGGCACGACGGGCAGGCCCCCGGACGTCGAGGTGGAGCCGTGGGACGAGCCCGACGAGGGCGAGAAGCTGCGCGCCTCCGCGGAGCCGCCAGAGCCGGCTGAGAGGAAGGCGCTCGCTCTCGCGCTTCCGGCCGCATACTCTCGTCGGCCAAGGAGCTGCTGCCCCTCGCCGAGTTCACGTCCAAGCACGAGTTCCTACACCAGGCGCAGCGGCGCTTCACGACGGTGGTCCACAACAGGAACTGGCGCGACCTCGCAGAGGAGCTCGCCGCGGAGGGCTCCGCGGGATCGCGGTCTGCTCCTCGTGGCAAGAAGGGCAAGGCGCGCGCCGAGGGCAGGGAGCGGGCGAAGCATGCGGCTTGGCGGGAGGCGGTCCGCTTCGTGGCGGCGAGCCAAGACGGCGCCGGCGCTTTCCTCAACGCCATCCCAATGCGGGATGACATGCGAATGGAGACTTGGGCGATGCGGATCTCGGTGCAGCGCCGCCTGGGCCTTCCCCTCGACGCGGCCTGCCAGGCCGCGGCGGTGGGTAAGAAGACTCGGAACAAGAAGATCCACGACGAGTTCGGCGACGCTGCTGTCAACGTGCCGCAGCAGAGCCACAACACCAGACACAAGTGTGTACTTCAGCGCCTCATCCTCGCCCTACGCGCCGCGTGGGGCACCGCTGTGCGAATGGAGCCGAAAGGCCACCTCGGTCAGAGTTACAACAAACAACCCGACGTGGACGCGGACAACATTGGCTCGCACGGCACGCACTATTGCGGAGACGTCAAGGTCGTCTGTCCCCTCAGCAGCAGCGGGGAGCACGGTCGGAAGGGCGCTTTTGTCGCCTTCGGCAACACCGAGGCGTTCTACCGGAACATGGTCGAGGGGCATGGGCCCTACCGCGCGGAGGGAGAGGGAGGCGAGGGGGAGGGGGAGGGGGATGGAGGGGAGTGTGAGGGGTATGGGGGCGAGGGAATGGAGGGGGGGGGGCGGGCAGAAAACGCGAGCACGGGGGATTTTTTTCTTTTTGGACCTCTGCCGGGCCCTCAGAGAGAAAATGCTGGTTGCTCTCTAGAGACTCTCCACCAGAGGGACAAACATGCTCTAGCGACGGTGTTCCCCACGCCCAAGCCTTTCGCTTTCAGGAGCCAGGTCCCTCCGCCGAGATCCGCTCCGACCGCTCGTCCTGGAAGCCATCCTCGAGGAGCGAGCCGAGGCTGAGGGACGGGTCGTGGCCCCACAAGCGCACCTGGATGTTGACGCGGCAGGGCGCCGTGCCTGCCGAGATTCCGGCGAAGAATGGCGGCGGCTCGCGGGTGCAGCCGACGATGCGGTGGGGGAGCAGGCCACGTTGGAGCCAGGTGTGGTGTGGGCGCGAGAATAGCTCCGCCGTTAATGGAGGCAACCGATACGAGTCGACTGGTGTGTGTCGTCGTGGTTTCGTATCAAGAATACTCACTCACACACACACACCCGATGCTTGGGGGCTTCCATGGATGCTGGGGGGTGGGGGGTGGGGGGTGGGGGGCACCGAGGCGCAGCCCCGCCCGAAGGCCGCGCAACGATTGATTGATACACCCGCCTCTCCTACTTTCTAGGTAGGTAGGTAGGTAGGAAGGTGAAGAACAGTCTCGACTTTCTGCGAATTCTACCATACCCCCAAAAGACTTTACCCCAAGCGCTGCCCCAATCGTTGTGCCTTTGTTGTCCTCCCGGTCCTCCTCTGTCGCCACCCATGAGCGGCTCGGAGCTCTGGTGCGTGCACAGCGACCCGTGCGGAATCTGCTGCGCCGGCGTGACTTACATCCTGCTCTTCTTCGCAGACTGGGTGACCGCACGCTGCGGCACACCCACCGCGCGCCCACCGCAGCAGCCATGCACTGCCGCCGCCACCATTACGCCCGCGCTGCTGTGCCCTGCTCCCGCGCGCACACAAAACCGTTGTCTCGCCACCGCCCGACGGTGCACAGGTTGTGTGCACGCACTTGCTGCCGCCTTGGCTCGGCCTGTCGGCAGTGTCGTGCGTGCTTGGCCTTGCCTTCCTGCTCATCTCCGCTCTCGCCGTCGCCTCCCACCTCCGGACCATGCTGACCGATCCTGGCGCCAACACCTCCTCCTCCGCTCTCCTTCCCCTCCCGCTCCCGCTCTCCCCCGCTCTCCCTCTTTCTTTCTCTGCGGCTCTGCCATGCCAACCACGACATGTCCACGACATGTCCACGACATGTCCACAGGTGCTGTACCGCACGAGTACACGCCGTCCGCGCTGCTGCACGACGAGAAGGCGACCCGCCGACCTCGCGCACGCACACACACACACACCACCACCACCATCACCACCACCACACACACACACAACACACCACCACCACCACGCGTGTGTGCGCACGAGTGTACACAACCACCACCGCCGCCGCCGCCGCCACCACCACCGACGGCAGCGGCGGCGGCGGCCCCCAACACACACACACACACACACACACACACACACACACACACACACACACACACACACACACACACACACACACACACACACACACACACACACACACACACACACACACACACACACACACACACACACACACACACACACACACACATACCCACACACACACACGCACGCACACACACACACACACACGCACGCACACACACACACACGCACGCACACACACACACACACACACGCACGCACACGCACACACACGCACGCACGCCACACGCCGCCACCTCCACCATCACCATCAGCAGCAGCGCACACACCACACATCCCACCATCCCACGCTCGCGCAGAGACGAGACACCTTTGCCGCTGAGAGGGGAGCTGTGAGCAGGCGCTGCCGATGTGCTCGCGCTGCAACGGCTTCAAGCCTCCGCGCGCGCACCACTGCTCTCAGTGCGACCGCTGTATCATGAAGATGGCGCGCGAGTCTAGCCGAGACCTAGCCGAGACCTAGCCGAGACCTAGCCCTTAGTGCTGCCCTCCGGCCGGACCACCATTGCCTTAGCCTAGATCTTGCCAGGATCTAGCCGAGATCTGGCCGAGATCTCGCCGAGATCTAGCCGCAATCTGGCAGAGATCTCGCCGAGGTCTGTCCGAGATTTCGCCGCCCTCCGGCCGCGGACACAGGACCACCACTGCCCGTGGGTAAACAACTGCGTCGGCGCAAACAACCAGAAGCACTTTGTGCTCTTCGTTGGCTACACGGCGCTGCTCTCCGGCCCGCGCCATGCTGCTGCTGCTGTCGCGGCGGGCGGCTGTTCATGGACTCACCATTGAGCCGCTCCTGCACAGGCTACGCCATGGTTCTGCTCGTCCTGCGGCTGATGGCGACCTCTCCTCCTGCCTCGCGCCGGCTGCTCGCCAGCAGAGGGTGGTTGGGTGATTGATCACTGGGGTGCGTCCTCAGGCGACGGGCCATAGGCATAGTCAGACTCAGAATGAGAATTGATTGACCATCCGTCGCTGGTTGGCCCGAAGGCGACGCTCAACGAGCCGCGCCTCTTCCTCACCACGCACTCGCACGGCCCGCAAGAGCCTGAGATACGGGGAGATACGGGGGAGATACGGGGAGCTAGGGGGAGCTAGGGGGAGCTAGGGGGAGCTAGGGGGAGCTAGGGGGAGGTATGGGAGTATCACGCGCTCGCACCGCCCGCAATAGCCTAGTACCACACCTCCCCCAAGTAGTATCGAATCTATTGTGGGTCCAGTCCCGTGGGTGGTGTGGCTGGTATCGCGCACTCCGCTGAGCCCTGCCTCAGTGCCGCACACCGTCCCTGCTGAGTAACAACAGGCATGAGTACGTTAGGCCCGCAAGAGCCCGTCTCGATGCTGTATATGTTCCTGCTGCTGTTCGAGGCGCTGCTGTTCGGCCTCTTTACTTCGGCGAGATGCAGCCGAGACGCGCCGAGATGCAGCCAAGATATCGCCGAGATATCGCCGAGATATCGCCGAGAGATCGTGCGGATCTAGGTGGAGAAGCCGAGATATCGCCGAGATATCGCCGAGATATCGCCGAGATATCGCCGAGATGTCGGCGAGATATCGCCAGTGACAGCGTCTCTTGCGAGCCGCTCAGTCCACTTCGGGCGACCTCGGGTAATCTAGGGTACAGTAGTCTTCCCGGCGGGTCTCGGCTGATCTCCCCGGTCGGTCTCGTGCCGCCAGGCGATGTTTTGCGAGCAGCTCAGCTCCATCCTCACCGACCAAACCGGCATCGAGCGGCTCAAAAACGACTATGCGCCGCCGAGACGCTCCGCGGTGCAGAGCTCTAGATGCGGAAGATCTCCCCAGATCTCCCCAGATCTCCCCAGATCTCGAGCTCTAGACGCGCAATGCCGATCCACAACTCCCCATCTCTCCCCGGATCTCGAGGCCTAGATGCGGACACAGGTCCGCGTATTCCGACTTGCACGCGCGCCCAGACGTGCTCGGCGGTGTGAGCTGCCTTCGTTGTATTCGTATTCGTAGCCCCTCGTATGCACGTGATGCTCTGAAGACACGGCTCGATATCTGCCCCTTTCTGCACACAAACGCAAGTCGCGCGCGACGCGGAGAGAGAGAGTCAGGCACGCAGCCCGGGGTCCGAGGGGCGGCGAGCAAAAGCCGTGGTGCTCGCAACGTAGGTGCAGAACTTGTCGGAGACGTTTGGCCGGCCCTGCTCGCTGCTGTGGCTGCTGCCGACGCCGGTCACCTTCAACGGCCTTACGTGGTGGGACATCCTCCCGACGGAGCACGAGGTGTAGCCTTGGGCGTGCTGGCGGGTGGGTAGGGCGGAGGCGGTGCGGCGGCGCCCCTCGCCCTCCGTTTCTCGGGCTGGGCCCCTCGAGATTAGTTGCGAGACGTGGCGCCCAGTGGTTTCGCGGAGCCATGGAGGCCCGCCCAGCAGCCAGCCGCTTGTCTGTGTCTGTGGCGCGCGCCCAGCGTGTCGCCCCTCGGAGGCGAGTGGTGTTGGCGCACGGCTCTTGGTGTGTACTATTATTTGGCAGTGCTGCACCGTGCACGCGTGCCGCCACCCTGCCATACGCGATACGGCTCTACACTCCGCGCACACAATCTACGCGCTCGCCGCGAGCCCCGGCGCTAGACCGTAGTGCGTAGACGGCGGAGCTGGAAGGGCAAACGCTACTCCACCCATGCGCTCGCATCAAGCTCTCGCAGGGAGCTCAGATTTCATACAGATATACCGCCGCTCACACGAACGAGCACCGGAGCAGCCTGCAGCCCCAACCCGCCCCACACTGCAGAAGGCCGCCGCCCACGAGCAGCCCCAACCCGCCCCACACTGCAGAAGGCCGCCCCGCCCACGAGCAGTGCCAAAGTCCGAGGGACAATCTCAGCCAAGCAGGGGTGCACCAAGTGCAGCCGTTGCAGCCCCCCCAGTTGCACTTATGTTCCAGGCCTGCGTCTGGTCCTCAGCACTCGGTGCAGCCATTGCAGCCCCCCCGTGCACTTATCATCCCAGGCCTGCGTCTTGTCCTCACAAAACGGCTTGCACACCGCTGGGGGCGACGGGGGGGGAGGGGGGGAGGGGGGGGATTTTGGTTCAGTGGATGGGAGCGGCCGCACATTGCTGGGTCCCCCCCCTGCACATCTAAAGCCATGGCGGACCCCCCCCCCCCCCCTAGCAGCGCTCTGCTGCTGGGGGGGTCCCCTAGCAGCAGGGATGGCTTTAGATGTGCAGGGGGGGTACCGAGCAATGTGCGGCCGCTCTCAATGAGAACGTATGGCTGGTGGATCCGCCCAAATCGTCACGTGGGTGGATTAAACGTGGGTGGATTGTGCTGCCGGTGGATTGAGAGTTCAGCTGGGTGGATTGAGGCGATGTCAGCTGGGAGGGTGAATTGAGATTGTTCGTCCAGTGGATTGTCCGTCCAGTGGATTGTGCTAAAAGTGTCCTGTGGGTGGATTTTCGGTGGGTGGATTGTAATGCCGGTGGATTGAGCGCGGGTCGGCTGGCGGATTGAGATTTTGTTGGGCCGGTGGATCGAGGCGATGTCGGCTCGGTGGATTGAGATGGTTCGTCGCGGTGGATTGGTAGTCCACGACACCATCCCGTCGGTGGATTGAGATGGTTCTGGTGGATTGGTGGTGTTCGGCTGGTGGATTGAGAAAGCTCAGAAGATGGTAACTACGATGCCACACGGGCGAAGACGATTTCGCTCTGGTTTCTGAATCTCAGGTGGCACACAACGGGCCGTGGTCAGAACGCTAGAATGCGATGCACGGACAACGCACTCTCTCTCGCACCTCTAAGCTCTAAGTGTGACATTCCTGCCGTGTGTTCATAAATATACACGTAAAATGCTGTGATAGCCCAATATGCACGACTGCAGTGCATGCACGCTGCCATTGTCACCTCTTTTGGCCTCACTCAAGCAAGGTAGCGCCGGCGCGGCACCCATGGCCCGCGCGGGGTGACGGTCTCTCTGAATCCACCCGGGGGGGGGGGGGGGGGGGAGGGAAAGCCAAAAAATTTTTAATCCCCCCCG